ATCCACAGATTCATTTCAGCCACTCAACCGATCCAAGCTAAAACACTTATACAGCTGTGCCCTACGGTACACATTCTTAAGCAGAAGAGTAAAGCCTGAAGTCTGGTATGTAAGTTTATGGCTATAGAGCTAAATAAGCTGATCGGGTGGAGAGTTTTGACTCTGGGCTGCCAGTTGAGCATATAGGTATCTGAATGTACCTAGTAGGTATCTAATTGAGGTGCCTTGTTTCTGGAAGTCAGATTTGAAACTTTGGGCCTCAGTTACTTGTTTAGGCATTTAAATAGAAATTACTAAGCACCATTGCTTCCTACTGGCTTCAGTAGGATGTGAAAGCTAGCCTGCTATAGCTTAGGTGCCCCAAAACAGGGAGTAGGAAGCAAACCTTAGATTCACCGCTTTGAAAATTCTTAACTTCATGGTGTGGTGGGACAGTAAAAATTGCTTCTGATATTGAAATTCAGCTTGGGTGTTCTTTGTTAAATTTTATCACTATTCTGCAATGGATTATAGCACATGGGACTTTCTACAGGGAGTTATAACAGCTCTTCTCAAAAAAAGGGTGGCTTTTTTCTCATCAGTTGTAGCACACAGGAAATACTAAATCAGCCAGTAAACCTCTTGTTATATCTGTATAGCTATCTCTCCAATGCAGAAAAAAGAAAAAAAACAGTTGCACAAACTAGTTTTGAATCAGCAGTGTGCACTCATACCAATTTTTTCAAAGTCATGATTTCAAAGTAACGTCAGCTCTACAGAAAGGATTAGACACACAGAAGAAAATGATTTTGTGCTCTTTCCATGCATAAAAATCAGAAAATAAGCATGGCAAAATAATCATATGGCAGTGCAGTGGGAGATTGGAGGAGATTTTATAGCCACTACAACTGTTAGGTCTGGAATCTGATTAAAGATACCAATACATTCAAATTAATACCTCACATACACTCCAATATTCTGAATACTGTGTATAAAGATATCTTACTGCAGGACAATGAAGAATAATAGGAGTATTCACTCATTCAGTATGAAATAATTACACACAAAGTATTAACTCAGCTTTTCCAATATCCTATCATTGCATGTTCAGGCTTTACAAAGTGAGCAAATCATAACTGCCGTGATGAAATGGATAAGGA